TGTTTATCATATGGCTACAAGAACATACAATGACAATGAGCATGTTAAACAGAATTTCCTAATTAATTATTTTTTTTGTAAAGCATCGTTTTTAAGACAGAAATGTCACATTAATAGCATGATTTCACAGATTGTTTTATAAAGATACAGATTCAAAATGTACACTGACTCTTTTCTGCAACTTTTGATCAGCCAATGTGACATGCACCTCTCCTTCCCTAAAAAAAAAATCAATAGTAATGAAAAGTTATTATGATGTAGTCAATGTAAGATTTGAGGAGAAAGAAGAGAACTCACCGTCCTACAGAAACTTCAAAATTAACTGTTGATCCTGCAGACTCACCATCCAAACATGCCTGTTAATTCAAAATAGTACTGAATTTTAGTAAAGGTGCCCCCACAATAAACCCATTCGGCGTGTCCGCCCGGACAACGAAAGTCTACAGTGACGGTCATCTTCCCGGGCGGACAGTGGTGAACACGTCAAATGCGTTTGGTGTGGGGGCACTCTAACAACTACCTTAACCTGCTTTTATTTTCAAATAAGCATTACTACGGTAACAACTTACTTGGCCCAAGCAGCGACTTCCCTGGGACACACTTAGTTTCATTTTATCACAGCCTTCAGGGACAGTGATTACAAATTGTTTTCTAAAAGGTACAGGACAGGATGCCATAGCTATTAACTCTTTCTTTTCTGACCCATCAACCTGCAAAATAAATAGAAAATAGAAAATCATCTACCTTTCCATAAATCTATACTTGGTTTTAATGTAAATTGTAAGTATATGAGGTTTACTGGCCTGATACACCACATCTTGGGAGATGGCCGAAACATCCTCAGATAGCTGAATACAGTCACCATCCCATCCCTGAGGCACACAGCTCGCTTGCACAGCTGCTCCCATAGCAATCACTTCATCTGGACTAATGGCTGGACCCAAACCAAGTACTTCAGCATCTGGCACAACACCAGATAATGCTTGTTGTAATCGAGGAATCTTGAGCGTTCCTCCAGCCACCACAACCTGTTGAAAATTGGATAGCAAGTAGAAATAATTACCAACACGAATTTGAAAAATTAAAGTCCTTCAAGTCCAAAGCAATTTAATAGATAGATAATGGACCCTGACACATGCCAGTGCGCCAAAGTGGCAGAGTCCTTCGACTCAATCCTGTATTAATATTAAACTATGCAACAAAGTGTAAGCCGTGAGCGTCGGCAACCACCGGGTCATCATTCAAATACAAAGCAATTTACACAACTTACTTTCTTGACATCCTTGGCTGTTATCCCTGCAGATTCAATAGCTTTGGATACAGGCTCCAAAAACTGAGGCAGGAGGGGATTGAGTATTGATTCAAACCGAGCACGGCTAATATTTGAACTAAGATCAACACCATCAACAAGGGATTCAGTAAAGCAGTGTGCTGTCTGCATAGTTGAAAGTACATGTTTGCAAGTCTCAGCAGCACCCCTGAGTTTTGCCATTGATCTTCTGTTTTCCATTGGGTCCAGTTTCACTTTTCTGTGAGGTAAAAATAATTAAATGACAAGAATAAGAAAGGAGAAAGCACAGAATCTGCTGATTAAGATCAAACAACTTACTGATGGAATTCTTTAGCAAGAAACTTGGCTAGTTCTTCTGTAATAATATGCCCACCAATATTATGTTGGTGGACATTAGTAACCAAAGTGTACATCCCGGAGTTTATCCAAAATACAGTCACATCTAGAGTTGCACCACCAACACGGTACACTACAACATAACTGAAAGAAAGGAATATAAGCGTAAAGATACCGTAAAGATGAAGACATTTTCTAAAAACAACAAATTTTCAGCTTTAAAAATTCTTACCCCTCTTCATTAAGATCAACTTGACCAACATTATGGGCCAACAATGAAGCAGAAGGTTCGTCAATTAACTGTAAAACTTTGAAGCCAGCTTCTTCAGCAGCCCTCATGACCTCTTTCCGGCTTGCAGAGCAAAAATGAACAGGAACAGTGAGCACAGCTGGGAGTGTTGACTCCCCTGTGTGAAGGGAACTGGAGGCGGTTTCTATGAACAAACAGAAATTCAGCAATAATCAAAGATGCTGAGACAAGTACCACACTACTTATGAATCTACTTATCCTGGAACAACAAGAAAATTGTCAGCTTACCATGTAGCTTACGGTAAAGTTGAGTATGCACTTGATCAGGAGTGCGACGAGTAGTTTTTCCTTCATATTCCACTTCATAGTGTACTCCATCATCATTTGGTACAACTTTACAAGTAGTGCGGGAAATAGCTTCAGACAATTCTTTATCGGATATGCTCATATTCATTAATCGTTTATTATTAGTAACAGTGCAAGTCCCAAATCTTGCCATACCACTCTTAGCAGCCATACCAACAACCTATCACAGAGCAAGATAGCAAAATAAACATTTGACAAGACATAACTTCCCAAAAAGGGAAAATTAAAACATCAGCAGAGCACCAATGGGTAAAAGGGCTTATTTCCAATTACTCCATACCTTTTCATTGTTGTTTCGGTATGAGACAACAGCAGGAATGATCCTTTCTCCGCTGTCACTGGCTAAAACATCCGCTTTTCCATCCTTAAAAGTTATAGCAAAAGTTGTATAAGTAACTTTAAAAAAATAATGACAAGTACACAAATTCACTGAAATTATTGTCACTTACCTTGAAAATCCCTACGCATCCGGAAGAGTTTCCAAGATGTATTCCAAATAGTAGGGTCGTCATTTTTCAATTCTTTTAGTTCTGGACAACAGAAAATAATAATAAAATACGGCCTTTCATTCACTGTCGACCAGTCGGCTTAAAATGTTGTCACACGAAGATTTGAAGGTTATGATTTTCGTGAAAGAGGCATGGCGTTTTCGAGAGCTCGAAGAGGTCCAGCAATTTTTCATATTGCTGTTCTGTTGATTTTTATACAAGGCTGTGACATCGTCTGCTGAAAAGAGCACAACAAACAAACGTCAGAATCAAACACCACCTATCTCTCAATTTGTGATTTTTAAAGAAATCTCATATTCGTCGTTTGGTCAACATGAATACCTCTCGATCAGAATATTCAAATGGTATTCCTGCAAGAAGTGTGCCTAAATCTAGGCAAGACTCATCAACAAAGGGTAATTATGCATACTTTTCAATGCCCATTCGTAGGTGGAATTCCTTAGGAACCCCTATAACATTTTATAAATTGCTGACCTCTCTTTAGCTCCTGAGCTTTACGCAGTCGAAGGTCGGAATTGGCTACTGCATCGCCATTTCACAAGAAAAGAGTTTGGAATTTGTAAAATTCTGATACAAGAGGAACTGGAACGTACTCGGGGAAAACATGAATTTGCAAATTACATACAGGTTTGCTAAAAAATTGTTGCGCTCCTTATTTAAAACTAAATACTGCCACTTGTGTCTGAAGTAATATTATATTTCTTACAGGGACTTATCTTATGTCATGAGGGGAAAATTCAGGAATCCCTTGAATGTTTCCAAATATGTCACAGTCTGAACCCCAAAAATGTGGACAATATAAAGCAAGTGGCGCGATCTCTGTATGTACCACTTTGAAATTCTTTACAATCAAAATAATTACTACAGATGAAAATGTGGGAGTCTACTGTAACATTTTGAAAACTTTTTCCTTCTTAGCTACCTTTTAGGCTTACACAATCTGGCATTGGAGGCATATTTAGATGCTCAGCAAATATCAAAAGTACCTGACTGGGATATATTCTATAATTTAGGTATTAAGATAATTGACACTTGGTTCCAATGGAAAAATAATTGATAATGTAGGGAATTAACTTTAACTCTTTGCTCATTGAATTTGTCAGGTGAATGTTGGCTGCGTTTGGGGGAGCACGCCAAAGCTAAGGAAGCATTACGTCAGGCTGTGCAGCTTGGCCACCATGAACGTTGCTATGTTGCACTAGCAAATATATACAAATTGGAGGGTGATACTCAAAATGCCATTGAAATATACAAAGCTGCTGTAGAGTAAGAAACAGCAGCATATCATTGTTTTAATTATAAAGATGTCCTGCTTGTATCTTTTTCTCAAAATTTAATTATCTTTAGGGCAGCTCCAGATAGTGCTCAACTTGCAACATCTCTTGGGCTGTTGTACCTAGAGGAAGGTAAATATCAACATGCCCTTGAAAAGTTAGGTGGTGCACTTGCTAGAGACCCACAGTATGCTCAAGCACTTCTTGCTGCTGGGGCTATGATGCAGGTAAAGTACAAAATATGTTTTTACTTCATTCCAATCATGAGGAAATCCAGATGTAAGTTTCATCCTCGTTGCAGAACCACTCTGATTACGATGTTGCCCTTTCCAAGTATAAGATAGCAGCTCAAACTTGGCCTGAAAGTCCAGCTTTATGGAATAATGTTGGCATGTGCTTTTATGGAAAAAAGAAATATGTGGCAGTAAGCAGTTACATTTCATAAATTAATCAAACCAAGCAGTTATTTGTTTTTTATTATCTATATAATATTTTTTGTACTAGTCTTTGAGCTGTTTGAAACGTGCTCACTACTTGAGTCCACTTGATTGGGACATTCTTTTCAACTTGGGCCTTGTCCACATGGCAACTCAGCAATATGCATCAGCCTTTCACTTCCTCTCTGCTGCAACAAACTTGAGACCAGCCCATGCAGGCACATTCCTTCTTGTAGCAAGTAAGATCAGTTAAAAGTCTAATACTATTGATAAAAAATATAAAAATTATGTTGTATGAAAAAGTTCTAACTTTTTTCCAATTGTTATTAGTAACCTTGCGTCACTTAGATGACCCTGACAATGCATCAGAGGCTTTCAAACAGGCCAGTCTCCTTGCACCACTAGACGCCAGTATTCCATTGAACTATGGAATTTTCCTTGAAAGTCAAAGTGATTTTGACGGTGCTGCACTTCAGTTAGAACGATTCCAGGAATTGGCTCAAGTGACTCCACGCCTCAGTTCAGAGGTAATGAGCAGTTCTGATTTACATATAAGACTAATTTGAATTTTTGTAACATGTTTTATATCCATTTTTACAGCTTGTTCAAACTGCAACACAATTAAGTAAATTACTTAACAATCGTGTGAGGTCTCAGCAGGGCAGCAAAACTGAAGGTGATGATACAAATAGTAAATCTAACATGGCAATTGAGGTAGAAGCTCAGGTTCGAGTACGCAACCATCCTATAGATTCTTCCCCCGAGAGTGAGCCACTTAACATGATGGCTGATGATGAAGTGTAATGGCTACTTCTGGTTACAAGCAGCTGAGGGTTTAACCCATAACAACATATCTAAATATCTAGTCACTGTTCACTGAAACATATCTATAATCAAATACACACAAAGTGATCACCTATGAAAAAATATGATTTATAAAGAAAATGAAGGTGGTATTAAAATTATTTTCTGTATCACAAGTTGTTCTGAAGGCTTAGTTTACAGCTAAATTTCTAAATTTGACACATTAGTCCGAATATCACATTCTTGGTTCTGGATATTAAAAATGTTTATTGCAACACAAAATTAAATTTTGATCTTGAGACTTATTATTTACAGACAATTTATTTTTTTCATTTTCTTCCCTGCCTCAATGTATAGAGATCTTTCATAACGCAATTTACTCCAAATTCCTTTGCACATTCGGAGAAGTCTAATATCTGGACTAGTAGAATTCAAGCACAAATGATATTGTGTCTCTATAATTAACTTAGCGTGCTTGAATTTATTTTTCTGTATTAAACTGAGAGCTATATAAAGTTTGCAGCGGGCTACAGTGCTTGGATCACCAAGGCGTAGGGCGAGGTGAAATTGGCGGAGAGATATACGCCCTGCCATATCTGCCTGTAAAAATAAAAACATTTCTGAATTTAATGACACAAAAATCATGGCACATATTCATAAAACTTTAATCAACATTGATTCTTACACAATGACTGAAATGATCACCAAGAGCAGAATAAGCACCTCCAAGAGTTGAGAGCCAAGACATAGCATTATCCAACTCGGTTCTCTCCATTACAAGATATGAAATTCTATGACACCTGAAATTAAGAGGAGATAATAAAAACACCAGAAATATACTCTAACAAAGGACATTTAAAAAAACAACAAATAAACAACATACCACATATGGTCTAAAATTTGCTTAGAAAAATCATTCAGGGTTATTTTGAGTGAAACGTTTTTGGTCTTTGGAATATAGTTGTCCACTTTCTTCAACCAGTAGCTCACAACTTGCTGACGGTATTCTCTTGAATGATTAAGAATGTGAATGAAATACGAGAACTCTAGTGCATTACAAGCTATATGAAATGTGAGCTTTTTTTCTTTAAAAATTTGGTCCCCTTCTGGCAGTGCGACTAAGTCCTGATGAGTAACTATCTCGAATCCTGTACTATCAAAGTCACCATCCCATAGTTCTCGACGAGTATTCTTTTCACCCAAGGCTCTGTTTCCAAAATGGTCGAAAGACACATAGAATCTTTCGCAAGCATTATTGCCGGAAAAAACTAAGATACGAATGAAACTCATATTTTTAAGTTAGGTTACGTGTTGGTACAGAAAAAAACAAAACGTAAGGTAAAGGAGTTTAGCAATTATCATGACTCAGAATTTTCTGAGTAAACATCCACTCGACTGAAAAGGTTCTTCATAGGAATGTTATCACAATATGAAAATTCAGTGCTGTCATCAAGACAAAACCGTTCCCTTAGTTTGTTTCCTACTCATAATTCAGCAACAGCAACCTTCCTTCTGCTACTTTTTTCTTATACGCACAATGATCGTTGCTGTGGTGCAAATAAAAGAGATGAGAAATTTTCCGTTCAATATCTTTTCTTCTGCTGAACGCTAAGCACATGGGAAAACGGGAAAGGGTGGCACGTGGGTGGCTTGCCAGGAAATCCCTCTAATCTGATTTAATTAAGTGGTTTTATGGGAACTTTGCATAAAAAATTGATACAAATAAATCTTCTATCTGAAAAAACCTTGCTTGATGAAGGTAATGCATTTTTACTTCAAATTCTTTCTGTAAAATGGCATTTAGTTTCTGAGGACACCCCTCCGCTTCGTCTGCTTGTTATACGCCCACCCTCCCCCCTCCGCTCTCACCTACGTCGTTTATCGATCGGTAGGGTCAACATAAAACACAAATCTGAGTTTGGAGAAACTGAAAGGGTTAGTTTAATGTGTATCGTAGTCGGAATATACAGCGGTTTCTTCGTAAAAACATTACAAGTAACTGCTTTATGTCTGGGGTTTCACTGTCATATGGAGGCAAAACCGCTGTCAGGAGAGAGAAAAGGATCTGCACGTTCCGCTCGATTTCTCATTATTTTCACCGACGTTCCTTGATTTTCGTTGGTCCTCAACCTGCTCTTCTCGTTTGGCAGCTCCTTGCTCCTTCCTTCTTCAGTTGGTTGAAGTTGTCCGAGTGTTGGAGGCGGTATCGCAGCGTTCGTATCTTCTTGACGGCAGTCCAGATTGCGGAGAGATCATCGATTTTCTCGAGTGCCTCCCAAGATTAAAGGGGGTATAAATACGATTGGCGTACGAGTGCCTCACACGGCGGCAGCACCTCTCGTTCAAGCCAGTGAAGTGGAATAACCCCTCCTGACGTTCCGGGAGATGGCTTTCTTGCGCCTGGCCTCCCGCTGGCCTGCCTTATCCAAGTTTGGCGTCGCCAACCCCAGTCTACATGGCAAGTCGCCTCCCCTGCGCAACGGCTTTCTGCCCCTGACGACGTCGTCTGCTGTGGGCAAGTCGGCCTCGGCCGCCGCCACCACAGAGGCCTTCCGTGGGGGTAGCAGCCAGGCTGTTGGGCACGCTCCTGGCCAGAGGAAGGATGTCTTGGACTCCTCCTTCGACGATGCACATGCCGCCTACAAGAGTAAGACGACATGGGAGATCCTCCGAGCCTACATTGTATATACCCTGTGCTCGTCGAGCTACCTGGTGGAGAACAACATGAAGGTGAGTCGCTCTAAGGCATTAAACGGCTTACAATCTGTTTTAGCTCGGGCCCTTCTGTCACACAGTTGCAGTGTCTATTCTGGGATGTTTTTAGGCTGCTCATGTTCCGTTCAATATGTTAAATTGCTAGGTATACATTTCTTTAATTGATTTCAGAACTATGCATGATTCATTTAATATTATTTGTCTGACGATTTTACTCGATGGATATAATTCACATTATCTTGCCCACTAACTAATGAGGCAGTTCATATAGGTTTGGTAAGTTGGGCAAGTTTTAATAATGTGATGCCAATGCATATTTTGAGATAATGTACAAAAGCTTACAGGTAAATATAAGAAAAGATGCTCCCTTATGATCAATGATTGAAAGATTATTCTGATAACATTCACAAGCCATTTAGTAAATGTTTGTATTGCTCCGGAGGAAAAGATAACTTTGCTAGACTTGGGATGGTAATGGCTCAGGCTTTGGGGTGGAGGTGGAGATAAGGTCCAAACTCTTGTGATAAGGATGAATTCTCTTTCTCTGTACCAGACAGGATGTGTAGGTGGCATAATATTGACCTGACTCTCTCCCACCAATTGCCTAATGCAAACTGACAAAGCCGCCTCTTGATAAGGAAATATGCTTGGGAAGAGTGAGATGGGCAGGAGGAAAGAGAGACTAAAAAAAAAAAAGGATGAACCATTTTTCTGCAAATTTCGAACGTGTCATACAGGCCAGGCATCGCGACTCTCCCCAATCGAGGGGCGGTTCTTGGCACCCCCTGACGTGCTGCACTCAACACTGCACCGCACCGCACGCGTGGGTAGGGTCAGGGTAGGCAGGGCGGCACTACTGGGGTCCAGTCACAGGGAAGTCAACGTCACATTACCCGAGAAGAACCTGTATTGGTCGTGTCAAATATCGGCCACTCGTCGCGGACAACTTAAGTCAATTTTGCGCTAGTTTTCGCGTTACGTTAATGTGTCGTAACTCAGATTTAATTTCGAGTTGCTACGTTTCGGAGCTTGCTTGTAACGGCTTACATAAAAACATAAAGTTACTGCAATGTAACTTATTTACTTTGCAGAGCCCTTACGGAGTTATCAGCAAATATTTTAACGCATTGATGATTTAAACTGATAAATACCGAATTTCATGCACCAGGGAAAAAGTGCAAAAACTACTCTTTTATCGAATGCGCGTTGACGCAAATGGCAGTTATGTTATGCTACAGTAACGGGGAGGTAAAGATACAGCTATTTACTTTCGCTCCTGTAAGGCCACTCACCTTCTCCATCTCATTTCCATTTGTAGAACTGATTGACACCCTTTAACGCCTCTTCAAGTGCAGACCATCTTCTATAAAATCGCAGCGCTGTGTTTCCTCTTAAATCAATCTAATCGCCTTCCCAACTGGAAATGATGACATCGCGCGTCTTTCAATTTTTGTGGAATATTATCTATAAGCCAGCTACCAAATTTAATTTCTTGGCGGCATCATTGGATTACCTGTAAAATTTACGAACTAAGGGCAATTTCAGAAACGGGTGTCCGTGCCTAACGCGATTTTTGAGTGACTGAGAGGTGCTACGGTTTTGTACAAAACATGATACGCGCCCGGACGTGTATTGCAAAACAACGTACGTATCGCCTCTCAATCGACCTATCCCTCCTTGCAATCGCGTTACGCACGGACATTTTTCCCGAACGAGCCTACACAACCTTTACGAGAAGGGGTTCAGAGCTCAGATAACACCGAAGATGGCGGTAACTTATTGCATGCTCCGGGTGTATCTGTGAATACGCAGCAGTGTTGCGGGATTGCATACTCAATATGGCCGCAGGGGCCATGGCCCCTTACGGGTGTAAAGAGTAGGCAAACCCGCAAAACTGCTGCGTATTCACAATTACACCCGGTTCGTAGAAGACTATGGGTTAGAAACTTACCTTACGTGGTTCATCTGATCGGAAATTTTGCGGGGAATCCGGTGGTGGTATCAAAAATAAAATTCGAGAGCTCGCGTAGATAAAATTCCACAAGAAACTGAAATACTCACGGCTTCATCGCCTCAAACAAGCGTCATCGCGCAGTTTTCGGTTAGTTTTGTTGTATCATAAAAGGATCGAGGTCTGGGTCTGAGTGTGAACGGGGAGGTGCGAGGGTGCGTCGGGAATCGCACATAGTATGGGGCGCGGAGACTGATGTCATGTCTAGAAAAGCTACAAATCGATATGGTATCACGATTCTGAGCTCTCGCAACCGTTAGTGAGAAAAGTATCGCGAATCCAGATATCGTGAAAACGGGTCACTTTGGCGCCAACATGTTGGACATTCTTAGTTCCTCGTCATAACACGAAAAACTAACACTACTGTGTGTTAAGAACATCTTGTTTGTAATTCAAATTGAGCACTTTCGTTTGCATTTGACAAAACTAAGTGGTGGTAGTATTCTTTAAACGTTACGTTCGTAAAATAAAAACGTATTTACAGTAAAGAATACAACTCGACCTTAGTTTGTTTTGTCCCTGTTCAGGTAGGTAGGTCGTAGGGCGAGTGCGTCGTTCTAGACGTATCTAAAGAGGTTGTTTTGCTCTCCCGGCGGAATCCTCCGCCGTCGCTCTCGTGGAGGTGTTGTGGCGCGGAGCACTCCATGATGCTGATGAGCCGCGCGTCTCCGGTCTGACGCACAGGGCTTGCACTCGAGGGCTCACGCAGCGTGCGCCTGTCACATTGATTAGCCATTTAAGATAAATTGTGCGAGAAAGTGAAGAGCCTAATCGTTTGCGTCAAAGCGCCTGTGCTCGAGTGTGTTGTCGGGAAATCAGTCGTAGCGCCTTCAAGGGAATTCCCTACCGTGGTATTGCAGCCTGCTTGCGGCACTGCGCCTCGTGTTCATAACGCAAGCCGCATGAAAGGCGCTGATACTCTAGTACCGATAAACAAAGTTTCGAACACTTTACTTTAGTTACTTGAGCTGTACGAAAAACTGAGGGAGGGCTTTGTGGCCGCTGATCGAGGGAACTGCCTGTCTCTTAGCCCTGTGGGCTAATTTTTTGTTTCATTGGTGTAACTCTTTATCGTATGGGCTTTTCCTTGAATCAAAGGAAACTCATTTAATAAAACAGCAACAAATGCCATAGTTTTATTGTGTGAAGACAATTTTATTTGTTTGTGTAAGTGTGTTTAACTGAGAGTTGCACACTTTCGGGCGCTTTGTTTATGAGTAAGCTGAGTGATAGCGCTGTCGCCCCTTGCTTACATTGTTACATTTCAATTTTCGGGATGTTCGCTTTTCCTCTGACCCCGCGCTGCCCCCCTGCCCCCTGCCCTGCCGATAGGCGGCGCGTGGCGGCGCGTGCCCGCCCAGCTCTCTCGCTGTCTCTTTTACTTACTCTCTGTGTGTGTCTTTTACTCTGCTGATAGTGCGGCGGCAACTCTGCTCCCATTATTTGAGTGATAATATTTTATTATCCGTCAGGACGGTTCACTCTCGCGCGTCGGCTCGATATGCTTCAGCTTATCTCCTCAGACTTCCTCTTCCACAAACCCCCGCCTGCCGCGCCGCCGCCGCCGGGGCGTTGTGTGCCGTCCAAACATACGCAGCGCGCCGTGTGTGTGCGTGTGTGTGTGTGTGTGTCTCAAAACGATTATGTATAGGGTATTTCGCACTTCTCCCGTCAGGAAGAAAATGGGGATTAAGATAAAATGCAGTAGTGAAATGGGTCAGCTCGCATAGTATGTGTATCTTTGTATTCGTCCTTTTGTTGTGGGTTTACCTTTCCCAAAGCTGCGCATTGCCATAGGGAACGTCTAGAACGTACATGCATTTTTCTCAGATTTATTGGGCAAAGTACTGGAGCTCGGCGCCTGCGAGACTCTGGGTAGGCCAGCCCGCAGTACACGCATGCGCACCGGGCTAGGTGTTGCCTACCTACTAGGCGCCATGAGAGCTTTCCCGGGCTGAACTTGGCAGTTTTGTCACGGCGAGTGACGGACGTACTTTCTGGATGATCCCTTACGCAATAACGCTAAGCTCAGCCCGCTCAGCCATTCACCCGACCACCGCAGGTGGCGGGGTGGGGCCGACGGGGGTGGGGG